ATTTTGACAGTAACTCATAAAATGCTTAACTTCAACGTGTTAATTTCCTCAAAGGCTAGCTAACTCATTTTAAAACGGGTGTTACTTCACAATGTGCGCTAGCGGGTTGGTCTAGACTTAAATGTGAGAGATAAGCAGTTATGTAACCTTGACTGCTGCTGGCAAGGCCTCCCTGGGACAAAAAAAAATTATCACTATTTCAGGTCTGCTCTCTGGCATTGCTGCATACATTTTACTGCCCTCTACTTCTCTAATACTTTACCTTTCTGTGACTTTTCTTACTATACACAGCAATGTGTTGGTCTAGTCAGGGAAAGCTTGAAATGTTCAACATAAACATTATTTTTACTGAAGTGGGTCCTGACTTGCAGAATCTAGGTTACTGTTAACTCATTGTCTTAAGATTCAATATTTCATGGATGGATAGCAGCGTGGTGGTAGAGGAGAGGATAGCGGTCTTCTGACACCCGTACTGCCTCTGGACTACAACAAACCCTGCAGTTTTCTAAACCGCACCTACCACCACACAAGGGGTTATGAGGGTTGCTGTACTGGCTCTTTCTGGATCCTGTTTATGCATGTGAGCGAATGTGTGTCTGCCTGCCTCTCTGTCTGCATGGGTGTGAGTGTGTCTGTGCTGCGCCCGTCTCCTCACACACCTCTCCACAGTGCATCCAAAAAGCAGAGGAAGCAACAGTCTGCTGTGGTTGACTCAAATAGAGCATACAAACAACACCATAAATCCTCCCTTCAGACCTCTAACTCCATACAGTTAAGGTTTGGATTATCACATCTCTACCTCACGCAGGTCAGACAGGACACGGCTGTGCAACCACTAACTGTCCTGGCAGTATAGAGTTGACTGTGACTCTGTGGCTGCTTGTCTGAAAACAATTTCTTTGTTTTGATCACAGCTCTGCAATGCATCCTTTAACATACTCCCTTCTGTTTTCTTCTGCTACCCAACCAAAGAAAACAACAACGACAAGGCACATTCATTTAATCAAATCATCCTTTCCCTCCACCGCAACTACGCTGCTCTTCAAAGCCGCCCTCACAGCCTAGGAGTTGTTTCTATTTTTACGGCTTTTACTACAGTCTAAGAGGAGCCCATGAAACCAGCCATTCGTGCCATAAAACCTTTTGTGACGATCAGGGTTGTTGTAAGGACTTGTTTTGAAAATGTGATCCTCTAAAGCCAACATGGCAGTGAGCTGAGCGGAGTTAATGCCACACCTGTGGGGCCGATGTGAAGACAGCTTTTCGCCTACTGTGGTTGACCGGCTCTGTCTGTGTTTATGCTGAGTGGAACTGGCCTGGGGAGAATTTACACCACAGTGCAGACACAACAAGGCACTCTGTAACCCATACATGGCATTAGACACTTAAATGGTACACACTTCACTACTTCTGCCACAACACACAGGTGGTGGTAAGCATTAAGGTCCTTTACGTCAGTGTAAGTGGCAATACCACAGTTTAAAAATACGCAGTTACAAGTAACAGTGCAGTCAAAGTCTTACTGAAATAAAGTTACATAAACATTATACTGAGGTGTTTTGTAAAATGACCCCATTTAAAGTGTTAACAGAGGCTATATTTCATTATTGGATTATCTCTACTGAACCATCGACATATAAAAAGCAATTAAGAACTCCAGGGGCCCCCGAAAGCTCCACGGTCACTGTGTCAACTGGTTTGTACTGATTTAACTAAAAATGTGTTTATGCTAATTATATTATTAGATTACACACTACTAAAATATAATATTAACTGATAAGGGCTTAAAGGTGGATCCTGCTTTATTACCTACTTTTTACATTTTGTACAACCTGTTTTGGTATCGTACAAACAAATAAACAAATGGACAAAAAGAAAAAAGACAATGGAAGCCAAGATTTTTAATGTAATCCGTTACTCCCCAAGCCTGTTATTATATAATACAACATATCATCTAATACTAAATCAGTGGTTCCCAAACGTTTTGGCTTATGACCTCTGAATAAAAAGTAATGTAGTTGGGGCCAGTTGCTGTTAGCAGTTTAACAAAAACGGCATTAAAGGACCAGTGTGTAAAATTTCTATCTATTGGCAGAAATTGTTATCTAATATTCATAGATATGTTTCCATTAGTGTATAATCGTTGTGTCTTTGTTACCTTTGAATGAGTTGTTTTTATCTACATTGTCCACCATGTTTCTAGAATGGACAAACCAAACACTGACTCTAGATAGGGCCTTTTGTGATTGTTGTAAGTTTTGCAGCCACAGTAGTTTCTCCTATGCTTGGAAGGCTGAGCTGTATTCAAATGGTTGCAATCTGCAGCTTCACCATTAGATGCAACTAAATCCTACACACTTGTCCTTTAAGTATCTAAATAACTGAGGCTCAAAGAAGAAAACATGCACAAAATATTTCACAAAAAAAAAAACCAACATAAAATATTGTTGTGCAAAGTTGTGGTGGTTACATAGTAAACTGTTATGCTTAAATATCTACTCTGTACCATCTGTTGAGTCACAGAAACCTAATTACTAATGTTCTCCATGCCCACTTATCCAGACATGCGTATGTAGAGTTATATAAGACCTGCTTGAGAAGGGAAAGTAACCTCACTCACTGTCTCTTTGGTCAAAAACACCACAGAGAGATATGTTTTCCAGAACCTTCAATCCAGCTCTTCACATGGTACACAGCGTGCATGAATACTACCACACCAACCGAATGGTAAAACCTGAGGGAAATAATAACATGATGCAACCATCAGTGTGGGCCCGAGGACCATATCCTGTTATGGTGGGTCTGGGAGAGGCCTGGTGCTGCCAGTCTGAAGCAGACCACAGCCTCCCACTCCTCATCCATCTGAATCACTGTTTACTTAGACAGGAAGGCCGTCCACTATACAACATCATCATCTGCTGCTGCTCCATGTCTGTGACTCGCTTGTGGCTTTGGCAAGGGGGGGAGTTTGTGTTTTCCCCGACGGCCAAGTTTCTAAAAGCAGACACAAGCTAAAACCAAACGCTTGGAGGACTATGGCCCAGCCTCGGAAACCACTGCTTCTCTGAGCTGTCTACCTCTGAAGCCTCAAATGGCCCCTCCTCCTGGAAAAACAGAGCCCTACTCAATCAAAGTATTAACTAATTAAGAGCAGATCCTGTCAGAGATTCAGTTGGCAAAATATTATTATGCCAAAGTAAAAACAAAATTAGTAATTGAGTTTTTTTTTAAGTGAATAAATAAAATATACATGAGAAAATCAAACTGAGAACCTTGAGGTGCGACTGAAAGTTCACAGAAAAGTGGAGATGTTTTTGTCTTTTAAAATGTTTTATGAACGTGTGAATTACCGGTTATTGGTCCGATTTTACAACAAAATCGACCTTTTTCACAGCAGCTATTTTGACAAACACAGGTGTTTGCCCTACTAACTCATTAAGGCTCTGTTCCATTTAGTGTAGCAGAGTTTTAGCCAACATGCACAACAGCAGCACCCAGACTGTTTGACTTGAATGGAACTGAACCTTAATCAGTAGCAATGGTAGCACCCATGTTTACCCTACTATTTCATGTCAAAATGGCTGCTGTGAAAAAGGCCTTTTGTTTTGTATATTATCCCATTGGTTGGAGATTCAAAGCAGAAATTATTTCCTTCATTCATCACCTAAAATCACAGAAATACAGCAATGAAACAGGATCTGCTCAATTTATGCTCATTCTGGTAAATAAAATACATTTCATTCACAAAATGAAGTTTTAGGAATATCTTTGCCTCCAATGAGCCTCTGCCAAACCTTTATATGTGCCAGACCCAAGCAGCACTTCTTTCCTTTTTTGGCCTTCACATTGCATTGACCCAGTTTTAGAAAACTAAGGGCAATTAGTGTTGTAACAGGCATTCATATAGGGAGCCTGCAACTGTATTTAGACAGACACAGAAAAAATGTCAAACAAAACAAGTCAAGGTACTATAAACTATATTCAAAATGTGGTTTCCAGTGCATGGCCTAACTTTCATCAGTACGGAATCAGGTTGCCCCTCTCCCTGAGTCTGGACCCCTCCATGGCCACACTGTGGTGCAGTTTCCGCTCTAAGAGGGACTGGGCGGGGGTGGACCAAGCCTTGTTGGTTTTGAGTTTCCTGCTGTAGTAGTAAGTACAAAATTAGGAGTTTTATGTGAATTGGACGGGGGTGGGAGAGACTCATGCTTGTGTTGGGAAAGAGAGGAATGTAACCTACTTTTCTGTCAACAAAGTCCTGTTTGTATGGGTGTGACATGACAATGGTGTATAAAATGTGTCTGAAAAGAGACTATGTATGTTGAAGACATCTGTCTAGTGTTTACCAATTCAGTGACAATTTAAGTTTTATGGGGGAAAAGCTGAGGCTGAATTGGAAAACAACGAGGACAAGGATCAGTAAACAAAGATGTGCACTGGTGCTTCTTTCTATCGGCTTTTAAATTGCTGTAATTGCTGCAAGAACATTCACCTCGCATCCAGGTCATGTCACAAAAAAGCAGCAGAGGGCGGGGATTGTGGAATACTAGTTTATATTGCATTACATTGCAGTGCATGGAAGACAGAGATTAAACAAAGATCACACAGGGCGAACTCAATAATTAGATATTCTTCTCTGTAGCTGTGCTAATCAGTAACGTCAGCTGGTGCAGAAAGGTTCAAGCTAAAAAACTTGCAGAAACCTCCAGTGGATCACATTTGGTCATCATAGATCTGGTGAAATCTATTCTGGTCTCTGCTGCCACCTGGTGGACTGTTTAACACAGTTCTTATGGTCGATCATTGTGCATGTGTGCCTAAAAAAGAGGAAGTTTACACCATGTTATAGACACAAAGACATACCTCCTGCACACACACAGAGGCCATTTTACATTATAATTATAACAGCACCACAGCGGGTACTGATGCTCACATAAACTGTAGCGCACAGACATTTTACTCAGAAGAAACAATTAAACATATGTCACTTTACTACAAACCAGTTTGTATTGCTTTTATTATTAATTGTACAAACAGTGGAGTTCCAGGCGTAAGTAGTGCATAGAAGCCTCTTGAAAGGTCTGTTAATTTACACATGCTGTGTATGATGGGGGCAAAGTTTGGTACATATTATCATCCGTTCTCAGATTAACCAGACCCCAGAAATACGCTTAGTGCAGACCTATTTCATTTTAAACAACATACTTTTTTTTTTTTCTTTGTAACATTCAACACTAACCAGACCTGAAGCCCAGCAACAACATATATTAACACTTTATCTTGAACAAATGACAGCAAACCCACTGATTCTCCTCCTGGTCATTGTCTGACGGCTACAAATGTGTCTTTGAGTAATCTGTTCCATTCTGTGTGATCACAGGTTGATATGGGAAGTACCAGCATTTGATGATTCAGTCCATTGTCTTTGGTTTGTGGTCATCTTGGCAATATCAGACATAAGAGGATCATACCAGAGCTTTTGCAAGTTTTAGCCCATTGACTAAGAATCACATATACTTTCTTCAGCGTGAACCATTTTCCAAAGTGTTCAATTATTTTCTTTAATGTATTTCTATTTTTTATTTTACATTTCTCTAAATAAAGACTGATTCACACTTTCACATTTTAAAACCTTGTTTCAGGTTTTATTTCCTACGGCAGTATAGGTATAAAGATAGGTTAGTGTTGTCCTATATAAGTGATGAAACAACAGGAGTCAAGCTACCAGATGACAACTCCTATCCCCAAAGTCGAGCATGTTCTGCAGAAATGCTAAAAAATGATATAACAGACCAAACCAAAAATATGTCTTAAGCTGTTCTCAGTCTTATTTGAACAACTTTGTATAATCTCTTACTGCACATTTGATTTCAGAAGCTGTCCCCCAAAACTTGTTGGAAAGTGACTGAAGTTTCTAACAGCACAATTCCAAATTAAAATGGTCTGTGCTTTAAAATCCTGCTGAGACATGAAACCTGCTTGAGACAGACAATAATACACTATACACTACTAAATGACGTCTACTTTTTACTGTTTAAACTGTAGTATTGTGCAATAATTCAGAGCACTCAATGAACACTGTCAACTTCGTTACAGTGTAAAAATAACATAAGTTCAACAATAACACAAGTAGGTTTTAATTCAGTGTGACGGACTGATGATGACGCCAGAGAAAATGCATTCAAAGATGCAAAAAATGTTGAGGAGTCTGGGACGCATATGATACAACGTCCCCCGACCTGGTTGAAAACTTTAGCTGCAGCTCATCTCCCCTCTCCTTGCCCTCAAAATATTATCTTTAAAAATAATATCTAAAACACTTGTACTTTGGAAAAAGGTCAGCAATAATATAACATATAGATGATATGTAATAAATAGGCTAAAACATGCAAAACTGCCCATTAATACAGCAGACATACTTGGGGATCCTATGTTCTTTTGGCGGGTTTGGCAATAAGCTGCCTTTCTCTCTCGAGCTCCTTCTCTCGTTTCTGTTCCTTCTCCAGCGCCTCCTTCTGCTTCTGTTGCTGCAGCTTCAAAGCTCTTTTCTGAGAGAAAACAACAGTCAGCATTTAATCCGTGTATGCATTGTTGCATCTATCCACCAATACTGTATTAATGGTAGAAAAATGTTCAATCTGACTGAGAAGAGAAATACCTTTAGTTTAGTTGTCTTTTCATGGAGCATAATCATCTCTTTCCTTATGTTCACCAGTTTGTTGTGATAAACCTTCGCTTCTGTAAACTAAAGACAACAAACTGGATTAGAGGTCATTCCTGCTGGCTGGTGTAGAGAGTACAAACAAACAGCAATATAAATACAAATTAGATTATAATTCAGCACAAACATACCAGTGAATTGAGGTCCAGTAAGGTATTACATTCTCTGAACTTGGTGACTTCTTGGTCCAGTGTGTCTAACAATACCAGCTGATTTTGTCTGGTTGAGACAAAGAAACAGATGTCGTCGAGTGCACTTTTTCACCAAAACATTACCAATGTTTAACAACCTTTACTGAATATTTAGCACCAAAACTTAATTCAGACAATGGTAGGATGTTTAGAAGTGTCCAATTTGACATGTTTGTGAAAGACTTTCTTTTACATGACTTACTGTAATACATACAGTGAAACCTTTTCACTGGCAGACTCTCTGCCAGCAGTACCAGCATTAAAGCAACTGGTCAACCCATCCATCCAGTTCTCCTCGCCCCGCCGCACATTTGTGTACTACATACTGGTGTCTTTGTATGTCAACGTGTTTGCGTGTGAATCACATAACCGACTGCTGTGCAGACAAAAAACGCTTGTTTCCTTTTTATCTTCTTCTTGTTCACACACCAGTTAGTCGAAACGTGTGAGGAAGAATAATTTAATTTAAAGCAACTTTATATTAAACTGGCATCAACTTGGCCCAATCCCCTGCCCACTTTTACAGTTTTCCCTACAAGTAGACTGGATGAAACAGTACATATCGCAGCACCTATCAAGTGTTAACATGCAGGTGACCATTAAGGTTGTGTGTCAATTAAAAAACAAAGCAAATACGGTACTCACGTGAGCTCTTGGAGGGCTCGTTTAGAGTTCTGTAGATCTGGTAGGTAGTGAGAGAGTAATCCTTCTGTGAGTTTGTCCACTGCTTTCTTATCCACCAACACATTCTCTACGGGGTCTGAGCTCCCCAGATGTGGTGATTCCTGTTGCGGCAACTGGAATTCTATCAAATATTTAAGAAAAAGTGTACAATGCATTTAGTATTGGATCACCAAAGTCCCTTCAATTAATTATTTAATGGTCTGATGACAGTTTTAGCTCTACAAACTTATCACTGACATCCTCAAAATCAGATCAGCTACCTTTCACCTGTATGGACACTTGAGATGTAAGATTGCATTTAAGTTATCTAGTGTACGTAGTGTCTTTGACATAAATAAGGGCTGAAAGCTTTACTGAAGACATTGAACAGTCCTTTCAACATCTGATTTATTTTTATTTATATGACCAAAAATCACAATTTTCCTCAGGAGGTTTTACATTCTGTACTTAACATCCAACACCCACACGTCTTTCAGTTTGGGACACAACTTCTTAACAGGGAAAAAATGGAAGAAACCTCAGTAAGAGCCACGGAGGACAAACATGCAACAGATGTCAAATGTACAGAACAAACCAACAAATCCATAAAACATTATATACTAAATTTTAATGAGACAATTTCTGACATATGAGGATTACAAAACACATGTGAAGAACGTGGATCACAGGACAATGTCAGTATAATAAGCATGCAATAATAGAAATTGTACCCTGCACGCAAGTTGTTCATGAACATGTACTTAAACTGATGTATTAATTCTTGCACAGTGTTAAATTGTATGCAACAGCAACCTGGAAGCTTGCCACCTTATATCTGATCTCATATCTTATTGCTGCTCGGACACTTTGGTCCGAGAGGCTGCAGTCAGTGGTTGATGCTTCAGGGAGGTTTCTATCGATGTGCAGCGAATTTGTGAAATCAATTTATAAGTAAGGGAGGATCTAAATGCCAACTAATCTATCCTGAAGTTCAGCCAGCCTGGTCATAGTAGGTGAGACAGGTGTATACAGTTATAGACACACATACCTTCACTGTGTGGAAGTTCACTCTGGGACGAAGGACCTTCATCTTCCATCTCCTCTACCTCCATATACAACGACTCTGTTGACCCAGACTGCTTTGTATAACCTCAAGTAAACACAAAATGAAAGTTTTATCAATTCAACCATTGGGTCGAACCCGCTTAGCTTATCACAACACCGAGCATCTAAACGTTTGAGGAAGTGTTAGAAGATAGCTTGACACACACACACACACACACACACACACACACACACACACTGTAACTCTTACCTGTATGACTGTGTGTGTCCACAGTAACTGTAGGTGTGACGAGTTATTTTTTACCTAAAGCAGAAGATACAAACGACAAAGATTTTGGATTTTGTCGCGTCTGCGTCTTTGCGGAGGGAGAAAAAACAAAAAAACAAAACACAAAAAAAAAAGTGTCATGTGACTCCCCCTGCGTCATCACGTGACTGCGGGTGAAACCAAACTTGCTACTAGTGTTACTTCCGAGTGCGTCGGTGGCGCTACGACTCAGGTGTTTACACCAGTGCTAACATGACGTTTTTGTTATTTAAGAAAGCAGCTGAGTTCGTATAACGGGAAACTACACGTAGAGGTAAGTCTGCCTCGTGTTTTCAAACAAACTATCGCACTACAAAGGTTTGTCCCTTCGTCCTAAAGTGACAGGACAGCTCCCCTTTTACTGGCTAGCTTGTTACTGTTTAGCCAAAAAAGGCTGTTTTACTGGTGAACTCGAGGTTTATGAGCTCGTGTAGGAATGTGAGCGACTCGAGGACGTGTAGCTTTTAACATGTCAAGTCACCAAGTTGACGTGAATTGGTCTGTTGGGATTTAAGTTGAAATCAGGGCTGCACAAGTAATCGAAACGTCGATTTAAATCGCGATATAAAGAGCTGCAGTGTTTTTAATAAAGCTGAAATGTGTTTGAAGACAGGATTGTGATGCTGCAGAGATGCCCTGGCCTACAAATGTAGTTTCTCTAGATTAAAGAAGACATGATATGAACTGATAATAACAGTAATCGTGAATCGTATCGCGATATCTGTGAAAATAATCGGCGTATCGTGCAACCCTAATAGAAATTGCCGAGCTGTACTGTGTGTTCTCACTTTCTTACTTTTTGTTGCTCTCCTCCAGGTGCTAAAACGGAGTAGAAATGCAAGTGTTCAACCCCGCCCCGCTACAAAAATGTGAATGATTACCCCCAGAAGGCAATAACCTACAGGCAGAAGTTAGCTGGATATACCCGTCCCTCCGTAATTATTAAAGATGTCAGGTGGGAATTTCTTGAGCAAGGTGCGGTCCACCTTCAGGAGGGAGAGAAACGACTGGGACCTGAGCGACACGGCGCCCTTTGACTTCTCAGACGAGCTGGTGGATGATGAGATGCCCAAATTCAACAAGCTGAAGGTCGTGGTCTCCGGAGAGATGTCAGATTACTCTGCCGGAGCTCCGTCCAACGGCGTGGCGGTGAACACGCTGGTGGTGGCAGATGATGACGACTCCCTGCTGGAGTCCTCGTCCAGCCTGGGCAGCCCGGGGTTAAACATGGACCCTTGTGACAACTGCAACAAGAAGAGGGAGAGGATCAAACACAGGAGGGTGATGAAGAGGCTTGTCATTGCGGCTTTGTTGTATTTCCTTTTCATGACGGGTGAAATTATAGGTAAGCAAGTGCAGAATGAACCTCACACTACATGTTTTTATTTAATGTTTTATTTCATCACTGCTGGTCGGTCAACAGTTTTCTGTTTGCATTGTTTTAATTAGCGTCGAGCCCCTTTTACCTTTTTTTTTATTGTCTTACTTGTGAACCACACACGTATCAGGAACCACAACCTTTGGGTTCATTTGTGATCTGTGTTTGCCCAACAAGTTTTCATTATAGTTTATTTGGATTGAACTTGCCCTACTCTCCGATCAGAGTCCCTGTCCTTAAAGGAGCTGTAGAGCATCCCAGAGTTAATATCACAGTAAATTCTCATCACAGGAAACTTTACGACCAAATTATCCGAGAGTTGGAAGATGAAGCCGAATCCCTGTAAGGCTCCAAAGCTGTTTAGTCAAACACTACAGAGTAATGCCGATAGTAACTCTAAAAGCCTGTCCTGATGACTTGCTTTAGCTAAACCTTTTTTTAAATTAGTGATTTATCGTCATAAAGTGTGACATTAAGTGTCATCATTGTTTTTGGATAATATATTCTCTGGTTAAAAATTATTACGCCAAAAAGAAAACTGACCATGTTATATACTGGCCAGTTTAAAACAATTAGGTTGACATGTGGTAGACACATTTCAACCTTTCCAACCTTGTTTTTCTCTTCCACAAAAAGGGCCTTTGTCCTCTTTGTGAGCTGATGTTTTCTAATGAAAAAGTGGTGACTGCAACATAGCTTCTTATTTAGGTTTTCATTGATAGTGTGGGGCAGTTCCTAGGGGCTCATTAGATCCTATACTATTTTATGTCACTGTTTTCATTATTTCATCATTATTTAACAAGTGAATTACCTAAAAGAAAACCTCCAGGGTAAACTTGAGTTGACATCATATCCAGACATCTAACTATGTACTTTGCTGTGGATTTATATCTGCATGGAGCCAAACTTGTTTTTTGTATCTCAAAATCTGTGCATGTACAAATAGTTTAGATAAATCTCAGCAAATTGTTCACGTTGTCTTCTACTTTCAGGTGGTTATGTGTCAAACAGCTTAGCCATTATGACTGACGCTGTGCACATGCTAGCAGATGTCGTGGGCATTTTGTTTTCTCTACTGGCTCTGTGGCTCTCCACCAAGCCACCCACAAAGAGATATACCTTCGGACTGCATCGCCTCGGTAAGTGTCTGATTTCAGAAGCCTCGGCACTTCCTTTTTGTCACTACCTCTTTCTCTCCACTCATTTTGTCTTGTGTGAAGCCAACGGAAACAGTACACGTGACTTTGTTGCAGATGAATTGTGTGGAGAAATTGTGTGTGTTCAGCAGTTTTTAAGCTTTATCAGATTCCAGATATGATACTTTAGATTCAGTTATAGTTAGAGATGCGGTTTATTGAAATTATTATCTGCCAGTAACTGTTCAATTTAGACTCTGTGGCTGCTGGTTGTCACTAATATATAGATGTTTATCATTTCACTACAACATAATTGTGGGCCTAGAATCCACCAGTGGAATTAGTTAGTTACTCTTAAGGCCTGAATATGTTTACTCCCAAATGGATGCGTAAAATGACATTACACACACAAAGTCTTTGTCGTTACAACAAATTAACAATACGCGGATTTCTGCACAGAGCCTACGTGTACACCGTCTGATGACTCAGACCCTCTTGAACTAGTGGAATTGGAAAGTGTAGTACTTGCTGTACAGTGTAACTGGTGTTTGGTGCAGATCTCGATGTGTACAAAATGCTGTATTGTTAGTACCTGTTTTTTTATTATGCCTTACACTGTTGCCAAGTCAAATGCCTGCTATAACTCATGGAGATAAGCACCAATTACTTAAACTCAAATGTAGACAAAAGTAACATCTTTGTTTTGCATTTTTCTGCAACGGTTGGATCCTTCAAAGCTTCCCTGTAACAAGCTGACTGTCACACAATTGCCTGGAGAAAAACAAGTTTTATGTAATTGACCCTTATTTACACAGAGTAGAACAGTTACAATAGATAAAGAAATACACAACACCTGGAACAGACACGGTCATGAATAGAACAGAATAATAGACAGTAAACTTTGAGATTTTGGCTCAATTAAAGCAGTCGGGTACTGTCGAAGACACTGATTGAGAACAATCTTGAAGTTACGGAAATCACTGGAGCTTGAGAATAGCATGCATTAGTTTTATTTTCATCAAAGACTGTGTTGAGATTAATAAAGAAAGCTTTCCGTTTATTAAAGTGGAATTACAGTGGATTATCGCCAACACAGTGATTAACAGTGTTTTCCATTTAAATGGAATTTGACACACATGAAAGACAATACAATTTATATAAATGGAGATTTACACTTAAATTTAAATATTTATATTAGATTCTTTAATTGAATCTAATTTAATATATTAGGCATTCTTTTAATATATTTTCCTACACCAGTAGATGTTTATAAGCAGTATTTGCCCCCGACTGTTAAGCTAAGCTTCTTAGGTATTTAGGCGCATTCTTCCTGTGTTGACCTACCTGTTGAAATCAGGTTTTTCTCACAGTTTTATGCTATAAATTTGTTATGTTTATTCAACTGATTGTGATTTCCTGGTCCAGAGGTGGTATCGGCAGTCCTCAGTGTGGTGCTCATCTACATTCTCACGGCCATACTGCTCTACGAGGCGGTTCAGAGGACGGTACACCAAGAGTTCGACATAGATGGAGATGTCATGCTCATCACTGCAGCAGTGGGGGTGGCTGTCAACCTCATGTAAGTGAAGCGCTCACACGTGAATGTATGTTTTATAGAAAACTGGGAGGCTTTTACAACATAAGAGCTAAAGTGTGGAGACCTGACAACGGTGAGTGCATGCCTGTGAGGAAAATATCAGCAAAAAATTAACAGCTCAGTCCAAAGTACTGTCTAAAATGCTTTTCACAGCTTTAAGTTGCTGAGTCTCAGTGTGTAATGTTTGACCACATTTAGTAGGAGAGTAAATGAAGACTTACTGACCTCAGTCTCTAAGTCAGTTAAATCATCATATGAACAAAACATCCTAAAATAAATCCCTCTGTCTTTGCTCTCGTGTCTTTTTTAGAATGGGTTTCTTGTTAAACCAAGGTGGTCACCTCCACTCTCACGGCCATGGTCACTCTCACGGCCCTGCAGCTGTCTCAAGTTCACAGTCTGGTGGGTCCGGGCCGGCGCAGAGGCAGCACGGCAGCCTGGCTGTAAGAGCTGCCTTCATCCACGCTTTGGGAGACCTCCTCCAGAGTGTCGGGGTGCTCATAGCTGCCTATGTTGTCCGCTTCAAGGTACCCTACCTTTTTAAAGAATTGTTTGCCATGAGTGTTAACAATTAACATGGTTTACTTTTAATGTTACTACCTAGAATTGATATAATAGAAAATGTCTTTCTATACTAGATTATTAGAGCATGTGATACAGTGCTGCAGGAATAAAAAAAATATTTTTTTAAAGACATTTTTTGGCTTTTTATGCATTTATTTGAAAGGACAGGTGAAAATAGACATGTACTATTCACATATCCTACTTTACAGCCTTGTTGTGTTTATATTCTAAACTTTTTCAACTCAAACTTTCCAATTTGTAGTTAAATTAAGTTTAATGGTGGTGACATTGAGGTCAGTGCAATCATGGTGTTATTTCGTTATTAGCTTTTTACCTCTTGCGATTACATTTAGACTTCAAAAATCCTAAAAGTGTTATAAAAATATATATAGATTATCTAATTGTATTAATTTTTTGTTTGCCACAGAGCTGATATTCTGCAATAATCCATAATTCAATGGAAAAATACCATTCCCTTTTTTGTTGAAGGAAGCAGGATAATGCTAACTTCTGTTTTGACCAACAAAAATTGGTCATCCCTGCAGCTTTATAGGCACTCGACAAGGGCATGCATTAATTATGCTTCAAAACATGTAAAACACTAGGATTTTAGTTGACCTGATGTAACCCTCTGACTTCACAGCCGGAGTTTAAGCTGGCAGACCCCATCTGTACCTACATCTTCTCCGTTCTGGTTCTGTTTACCACATTCCGCATCATACGAGACACAATAGTCATTGTGCTGGAGGGTAAGTCTGAGTCCTGTCAGATATTGCTTTTGAGTGTTTCGAGTGGTGTCGGTGCCTTATGGTGTTTTCATCCTGCTGTATCAGGTGTTCCCAGGCATTTGGACACTGTACGAATCAAAGAGGACCTTCTGAAGCTGGAGGATGTCCAATCAGTCGATGAGCTGAATGTCTGGGCGCTGACGGCAGACAAGACTGCAGCACTAGTGCATATCCAGCTCAGTGAGTAGCTACATAACATCAGTACACCCAATAAGGGAGAGGGATCTGAAGGGATGAAGAAACACATTTCTAAATACAGAACTATTGTGTGAACTCTGGATTTTATTATTCAGACAAAATAATAGTAGCCCATGTTAACATTGACTTTCTTAGTTGTCTCACATTTTCTGAATGAATGGATTCAATGAAATAGTGAAAAAAAGATAGTAAAACCCAAGATATCATCAGACAAACAAAGATATTCACTTTGTTATCATATAAGGGTATAAGGTAAAGTAGCAAATCCTCAAAAATCCTCAAAAATAGAAGCTGGAACTAGTGAACATTTTGCATTTATACTTTAAAATGACTGAAACAGTTAATCAAAATATTTTCTGTTGATCGACTAACTGATTCCTTTTTTCAGCTGTAATAAAGTGATTTGCATATTTACTGAAAATTCAATGCAGAAATGTAATTTACATAAATATTCAAACCACCAAGCCAACATTTGGTAGGAGTACCACTGGCAGTGATTACAGATTTTCTCAAAGAGTGTCCAGAAGCATCTATCTTCAAGTGTTTCCCTAGATTCCCAGAGGAATACATGTCAGTGTTCTGGCTTATCTAAGCTCTTTTTGCTTTACCACTTTGATGTAGATTTAGTTTCCAGTGTTTTTTTGGCAGCGCGTTAAATGTCAGCAATGTTTGCCTAAGGTCTTTATCCCACTGTAGCAAGGTCTTCTCTGGAATTTGCTCTGTATTTGGATTTAATCTTTGTTTTCATGACGCTGCCACCATCAGGCTTCACGGTAGGGATGATGCTCGATTGATGATGTGCTGAGACTTGTTTCTGCCAAATGTAGCACGTTGCAGTATGGCTCAAGATTTCAGTTTTCATTTAATCAGACCTCTGAAGAAACTTGAGTGCCAGTTCTTCCCTTGGCTCTCACCTAATATCCTTACAACATCCCTGTTCATGTAAAAAAAATGATTTATTGTCACTGTCTGTGTAGATTAGTGACAAAAAGTCACATTTTGAGCCAGTTTGAATTCAAACTGTTGTATCAGAAGATTCAGTATAAAGACAGTGTAAAATGTTTAGCAGCCTCCACATTCTTCACAAGAGGGAGCTGTTTTGTTCAGAGCAGTTCTACATACGCAACTTGCATCAACCACAGGAAGCAACAGTAATAGAAGCAGCAGTTGTAGACCTGCAGATGTAGACATGTCAATATAATCTGCCACTGTGGTTTCTATAAGACATTGGTGGTGTAGATTTCAAGTAAGAAATTGTGACACAGGTGAAAGACCTCAACTTTCCAACTCATCTCTACATCTGTGTCTCAGTTCCATACTACATACTGAAATCTAAGCAGGTTTCAAAGTATGTTCTGTGTTTAGACCGGAAAGAAAGTAGAAAACGTTTACCAAAGAGACTAGAAACATATGATTTCTTGGAGATTGCGGGAGTGTTAAAACAAATTGTGTTGAACAGAACAGAACACCCCAACAAAAAAACATTTTGAAGTCTTGCGAAGTTTAATTGTAAGAGAATTACCAAAGTCGCAGTTTATTGACATGTACCAGTGCTTGTATTGTGTCTCTTGGAGTTGTTCTGATTCCCTCGACACTATCTAAAATGCAGTATCGTGTATCGGCGAGTACATGTCTCTGTGCACTGATCCGATGCCACGTAATTTTTTGGCCCCGAAACGGGACCCTGCTACTTCCCAGCAGTGTCCCATTCGCCTTTTTTCCCCCCCAGGATAGCAAAGTCATGACCTGCCCTATTCTGAGTCAGACAAATGGTTTAACTTGAGCCAGGCATTACAACAGTGATCGCAATCACACAAGCTTAGTCATACGCTTATTAAATGATAATAACATACAGTATTTTTTTAGCGCACATATATCGGAATCAGAACATCTCTAATGTCATTTCCTGTTAGTATAAAATGGTTGTGAATGTTGATATTTTGGTAGGCTAACTAGAAAAAAACAGTATACTAAGACAAGTAGTTTATACTGTATAGAATTAGTATGTAGAAGACAATAGACATTTTTCCCAGCAGACATTTTGACTACATAGCAGCAAAGCACATGTAAGTAATGACACTAACGATGACTCAGTTCATCAAGTGTTCATCCAGTAAACCATTCCAGTGAGTAGGGATGTGTATTTACAAGAATACTGTAGTATTAAAATTAATAAAATCTAATTCTAGAAAAGTGTAGCATCCAACATCATATCACTCAGTTTATGTTTAAAGGGTTTAAACACAAAAATCAATACAGCGTATTTGATGAATTAGACTAGTTTATGTCAAAATATATGCTGGGAAAAAGGGACATTTATACTCCCTATATTGTTTCATTTATATTCAAATGCATTTATTTTGTTTGCAGCACCCTCTAGTGCTAACAACTGGGAGGACGTCCAGGCGAAGGCTCGCCACCTGCTGCTTCACACCTACGGTCTCACCAGATGCACAGTGCAGATCCAGACACACAGGCTGAGGCCGGTACGCAGTTGTGCACACTGCCAGCAGCCCAGCGCCTAAAGAGAGACACATGCTTACATTGACTTCCACAGTGCATTTCATGGAGCCGGAGGACACAGACGGCCTTGATGTTGCATCACTGTCGCAGCTCAGTGTCACAGCAGGAGCAACAGGATACGGCTATAACTGGAAAAAAAAACTGGTGCCAAAGGAGAGTCAGTGGAACAAGGGCAGATGCACATTTCTAATTAGAGGTTCACTGCAGCCTCCGGGGACCTTATGCTCTCACGCCTGCAAAGCTTTGGTAGTGGAGTTTGAATGCTGAGGAAAAAAAAGCTTGCTCTTAATTCACCAATAAAGCCTATTCCAACAGGTAACTTTCTTTTGTATTTTACAGTTTGATTTATCAAAAATGATGTTTTGTCATCAGATGTAAATTTTAGTTTTTGTTACTAGGTGTGAGGACTGTATACTAAGATTTTATTATTTTACTATGGATGTCAGCAACTGAAAAGGTACCTCATGTCACTTGATAATAACTGTGGTCACAGTCCATATAAGCTGTACTCCTCACCACTGGCTTAAGTGAGGCACAAAACCTTCATCATCCCTTTAGTAGACATTAGATTTCATCAAATGCACTTAATCAATAATATCCTTCAGCCAAAGTCTGTTGTAAGGTACATTTTTAGAAAAAAAGACAACGTATCGGCTGTACTGACCAACACTTAAAAAACACTTTTAACTCTGACATTTTATTCTAGCATGTCTCTTATTAATTGTGACGAGCAAGCAACTGACAATCAAAGTGTGACTGACTTTGAATAAAAGGTAAATGCTACAGTGGTTGGACTGACTTCAGTATGGTTTTAGCCTTACACTCTATACTCAGCTTTTTTCATATCTTCAACTGACCGTATAATAACGCACACATGTTTGGGAGATCTTCAGTGTTTCAAAGTTGCAGTGTTTTTCAGGGAGGGAGGCGTGAGTTGAAATTTGCCAATAATGGTGGTTATAGTGTTTTCTCTGTCAAGTGTTGAGAGACTGTGGAGGGGGGTGGGGTTTATGTTAAACCTTTCCACGTCTCTGATATTAATCATCAAGAGAAATCAGGAACTGGATCACTGTTTTTGTTTATAATAAAGTATTTAATCTTTTGTGTCAGTCACTTATTTTTACCGTCCAAGAGAAAGCTTCCCACTCAGACCTGGGTCTTTATTTTCCACTGAATTGGTCACTGATTGCAGACGTTGGACCCATCTTAGTCCATATACGTCTAATTTAATGAGCAATGAATTTGAAGTGGTTGAGATGACTTCATAGTTTTGTGTGCTGGGTATGTTGTTGTCACTTTTTAACACTAGGTGGGGTACATCTACAATAATCTTTTGTGACATGATCATTTTGATAAGATAACATGCATATATATAGTGTGCATTACACACATGGGCTGGAAAGTAGCATAAAACACACCTTGTTCTTTACACAATGAATGCTCTACACATTATGAACAAACAGACATGAAAAATGAAAGATGGGTGAATTTGCCTTGTCAAAGCTGATAATGCTGAATAATTATCTAGAGTTAAATATGAAAAAATACAAAAGCCTAAACATAATTATGTAAGACACACTGTATATATATATTCACCACGTAACCATGAAGCTCTTTACACAGGACAAGTTTCATATTCAAATGTAGACATATCAGGGGTTTATTATTGACAACATAAGTAAACTGGGAGTGTCTCTGTTTCCAGGCAACATCTGGGTTAACATAAAGCCACTGAACCAAGGGCAACTCCTCTTTGTATTACAGTGCACCCAATAGTTTACAGCATCCACCTGATTGCCCTACCTTACTCTAGAGAACCATAAACGGGAGTAGTAACACCTCTCAGTCTCTAGTGCCCAAACCAGTTACACTACAGAAAAAAATCGGCATATGTTGTTTAGACTACAAGTCAACAGTCTACAGTTCAAGAGAGTTAACTTTCAGAAAATATTTTCATAGTTACAGCATTGGAGTGTATCACTGATAACACATGGGAAATTCCATCTCTCTCTTCTCGTGCATCGTGAGAGTTATACCTGCTTCACTTTCTGGTCACATGGTCTGTGACCCAGTCACGTACACAAATTCCGACATCACACGCACTACATCCTTCCTCTGTCATTGTTTCCCTAAATAACCTTTCACTTGCTCTTAGCTTGACAGGTCAAGTTAAGTTCTGACTGTAGTATGCACATATCTGCCACACACACATTATCATATTATTTGACTATGTGATACAAGAGCACTGAAAAGGCCCTCCATCCGTAAAGAGAGACTACGTCCTATAAGCTATGAAATGTGACAGGGAAGCTTCTAGCACTTAAAATAATAATAATAAAAACAGATAAACAATAACAGTAAAGAGGAAGAAAATAAACTGTGAAACACCCATGCTGACATTTGCATGTACAACCTAGCATGTAAGAGAAACCAAATAGGGAAAGGGCTTCTTGATAAAAAAGAGCTACTCTGATAAACCAGGAAACCATAGCCATGCCTCTCCCTCTTTCTTTCTCCCTTCACACCCTTTGTTTAGTGTTTAATAATGCAAGAAAAGTCCTTTCAGATTAACAGTGCAGCCAACAGTCCAGTAGGTCGTGCCTGCCAGACAGTGCAATGGTCAGACGCTGTAGGAGGAAAGGTTTTTTTTCCTCATGTTTTTGCTCTCTTCTGAGATACGAGATGGACGTTAAAAGGATTGTCTCTGATTATGAAACACAATGGGAGCACTGAAAGCCCACGCAGCCATAAACTAAGCAGATGAGTGCATTTGCCTATTGCTTGGATGGCAGTAATTACTTTACAGCTGTCCTAGCTGGCAACATCTCACCATTTTCTTTTCTGTAAGCGACATTCAAACAAACAATGACTGCATCTTTTAAGTAAAATGTGGAGAGCTATTCTGTGTTTTTAATAACCAAATAAATATTATCAATCAGTCAATCAACCTAAAAGCCATGGATTTGGAGATGATACAAATAAACACATTAAAAATCACAGCTTGCTAAACTTACTGCTGATAGAGATCATGTGGAACCTCTTAATGTCAATTAGAAAATAAGATTTAATCTTAATCTTAAAATCTACTCATTTAAGCATTAGACCTTTTGCACCGCAGTCATTTTGAGGAAAGGCACAGGTGGATATAATAAAATCAATAATGGCTGCGTTCCATTTGGGCGTGCCTTTTCTAGGGAACTGCTATTGTGCATGTTGTCTTGCTGGCATGTTTAACTTGGACACCTACATGGAAAGGAGCTACTGTTATTGTTATTAATTACACTTATGCCCTTTCTAGTAAATCAAGCTGTCTGTGGTGAACAAAGTCTATTTAATGATGTATTAAACATGAAAGATCAGGCTGACGTGAATCTTTCTTATTGTCAACAAATACCAGGAAAATACTAAAATCAACAAAGCACACAGTCAGTTTCTCAAGACAATCTGACTTCCCCCGGCTGGCACGTGGCACGCAGCCAGAAGCTCAGTTGTTGCTACCAGAGACATAAATCTTTAAAAGGACTGTTAAATATATTGGGAAATTTATTTATATTATATATACCGTATGTGGTAGATCTTGTCTCACTTTTACCAAGACCTCTTTCACAGAAGACACTTTGACATGTCACAGCAGGAAAGGCTCAGGTGTAAATAATAAAATCAATGATGGCACTTGAATATAATGAATGGACCCTGGATCAGGTTTAGTGAATTAGTAACACCTGGGCTCTTCCTACTATGTTCAGTAAAAACGTTTGCTCTGAAGGTCATTCGAGGTCAATGGCTCATCAGGCCACACATTCAGTATTTGTTAGTGGGATCAATTCATTGTTAGTTTTATCCTTTTATTATGTTTTGTGATGTATTTTCATTAAAAAGAGAGATGCAACTTTTAGCTTTATAACAGAGCAGACTATGAATATCAGTCTTAAGACATTAATATGAATATTCCTGCATAAACATCTTTCTACTTTCTACTTATGAGAACAAAGGAAACACTGATGAAGGCTGTTAAACATGATCACAATAATACTTTATTGACACTATACAGTACATTACTTACATGTTGTGTCTTTTACACTTAGACACTATCGTACATTCACTTACTGTAACTACTACAGTAAGAGCATCTGCGTTGCTGTGACGACAAACTTGACAGTGGTCAAATGAAATGCAACACAACCTGTTCAATATAAATCTCTCTAACAGTAATCACAGAAACTCAGAGTAAGATAGTCTTTCTTTCACCTACAACTTTATGGCAGCATGAGTATCTTTTACCATAGTTTTCTATTGTTGTGGATGGATGTCCTTGACCTGGGCCACTACACAGCAGGGTGAAACCCCACCAGTGGAGCAGAAGCATTTCCGCACACTGAGTGTTAAAGCATCCTAGTTTGTGCAGAAAGGATTCTGTTAGACTGATGGGGGGCAGGCAGGTAGTCAGACTGGGGGATCTTTCAAGGAGATGCCTGCCCTTTTTACTTGGTGATGCTCTTCACCAGCTGCAGCTCATCCACTGGTTTCCACTGCTGATTGATGGTGATGAGCTGCAGGAAAGTGCCAGAAATAAAAATGAGACTTCTTCTGACCCATTTGCAAGTGTTACACCAACTTAAAGTGACAGGTAACATGAGTAACTGCACGGTGGTGTCACCAACATGAACAGCTTTACTATCTGATGTCACAGAAGCAGACTGGCACTAGTTTGATAACATTTCTTTCTCAGTGACTCAGCAGATTGCTGCTGGTGGCTGGACGATTGTGCTTGTTTTCAAGTGTCAATAAGGATTAAAAAAAGGCTTATTAAGAATGTTACCTTTTGGGGTTTTGATGGGTCCACTCTTTCCCATGGTTCTGGGTTTTTGGTCTTATTCAAACTAAAAATAGTGAGTGTCAGAATAAAGTATGAAAAAGAGCACTTTTTATTAGAAAATAAATACAGAGTAATATAATGATTTTGTCAAAATATTAAGTACAATAACACTCACATAACATCAGTTTTAGTAAATAGAAAGTAGAGAGCAGCGGAGGTGGCTCCTGTTGCTGCAAAAGCCATGAACCCTATCAGAGGGATCAGCTGAAACACATAAAAAATATAATTTTTTAAATATGCATCATCATACTTAAATATCCTACAAAATAAAAAAAAATACAAAATCACTTTGAACATAGTAAAAATGTAAACAGCTCACCTCCTTTTTCTTTCTCAACATTTGGAAAAATCCAGACATTTTTCAAAACTCTGAAGTACCTGAAGAGAAAATAATCATATTTCCACTCAACAACAAGGATGGGAGTCCATTTGGTGAATTAATGTCACCAAGTAATAAAGGCAGCTGTGTGTGGCAGGTCTCACCTGTTGTTGCTGCGAAGTCCTTAACTGCACTTAGCGCAGCATCATGTGAACCCGGCTGATGTAGGCTGGATGTGAGGTAGTACGAGATGAAAGGCACGTAGACAGACAGCGCTTCCTGCACCGAAATGCACCAGTGGATACCAATTTATCAACTGAGTCACACTACTGATGATCAATACATTTTCTAAGTCTGCAGCACCATCTGGTGGCCACATTTGAAAACTGAAAGTCAATGGCTGGTGGATGGCTTGGAATGTGGATCTCAAACATTAACTGTTTTTTAGTGCTTGTCGGTGACAATAAAACAAGGAAAAATACCAGACACACAAGGTCAAGTTTTACGATTTTTATTTAAAACCAATTCTTGTGTAATAATACAATGTATCAATGCAGAGGCCATGGTCATATGTGTTTTGTCATCTGGGAGATGTTTGATATGTGTGGATCTGCTGGGCAGTGAGAGAGGGGCTCATTTTGCTGAGGGACCGGAGGAAGTATGTGTGTTTGATGACAGAAGCCTCCATGTTCTCCTCTTGGAGCGCCAACAAAGCAGCCTGGAAAACAAAAACATTTTATTAATGTCTTCCTACTCCATCTGTTTGTCTATGTCAACATTTAGGAACAGGATTACAGTTTTAATAGCCATGTGAACGAAGATAAGGCCTTTGGCTGTGTGCTTCACGTTACCTCTTTACACAGATTTTCCAGGTCAGCTCCAGAGTAAAGCTCGGTCTTTGCGGCCA